AGGGTTGTTGAAACAGATTGCTGGGCTCCATCCCCCCACCCCCCAACCCCTGAGGTTCTGGTTCAGTAGGTCTGCTGTGAGTTCTGAGGATTTGACTTTTTGACGAGTTCTCAGGCGAGGCTGATGCTGCTGGTGCTGAGACCACACTTTGAGAACCAGTGGTTTAAACTAATCAGGATTTATCTCAGAGGACTGGGGTCAACTCTTGGAAAATACACTGCTATCCAGAGGAGGGAGGAATACCCCCCCCAAAAAAAAAGAATCAGGATTCCATCAGAAAAGAGCCAAGAGGAGGAAACTTTTGGGTAGGTATCCAGTAGTGTCTACCATACAGTGGCCAAAGAGCAGCTAGGAAGAGACCAGGAGTGTGTCCAGACAGGTGAGAAGAGAGTCAGAATGATGTCAAGGGAGCCATGGAGAAGCGACTGGGGAATGGTCAACCCCTTTAATGTCACAGACAGGAACAGGAGTGTAAGCACTGAAAAGTGACCGGTGGAGGGGCGCCTGGGTGGCTCAGTCGTTAAGCATCTGCCTTTGGCTCAGGTCATGATCCCAGGGTCCTGGGATTGAGCCCCGCGTCGGGCTCCCTGCTCAGCGGGAAGCCTGCTTCTCCCTCTCCCACACCCCCTGCTTGTGTTCCCTCTCTCACTGTCTCTCTGTCAGATAAATAAATAAAATCTTAAAAAAAAAAAAAGTGACCAGTGGATTGAACCACTAGATCTTTGTTGATCTTAGCAAAAGCAGTTTTATTTTGAAGACACCACATAGGAAGAGTTATAGGAAATACAGAAATTAACTCCCTTGCACTGTTGGTGGGAATGCAAAGTGGTGTAGCCACTCTGAAAAACAGTATGGAAGTTCTTCAAAAAGTTAAAAATAGAACTACCGAATGTTCCAGCAATTGTACTACTAGGTAGTGCCTCAAAGGATACAAAAATACTAATTCAAAAGGCTACATGCACCTCCATGTTTGTAGCAGCATTATCTACAATAGCGAAAATATGGAATGGATATTCCATTCATTCCAACTGATGAATGGATAAGGAAGTATATATAGACAATAAAAATGAAATAATACTCAGCCATAAAAAGAATGAAATCTTGCCTTTTGCAAGGACATGGATGAAACTAGAGAGTATATCATAAGTGACATGTCAGTCAGAGCAAGACAAATACCATCTGATTTCACTCATAGGTGGAATTTAAGAAACAAAACAAATGATCCTAGGGGAAAAAAAGAGAGAGGCAAACCAAGAAACAAACTCTTAACTGTAGAGAACAGACTGATGGTTACCAGAGGGGAGGTGGGTGGGAGGATGGATTAAATAGGTGATGGGGATTAAGAAGGGCACTTATGATGACCACCAGCTGTTGTAATGAAGTGTTGAATCACTATATTGTACACCTGAAACTAATATTACATTGTATGTTGACTAGAATGTGAACAAAACTTTTAAAAAATAAAATACTGTGAGTTCAAAAAAAAAGGTTAACTTTTTGGGGTGCCTGGGTGGCTCAGTTGTTAAGCGTCTGCCTTCGGCTCAGGTCATGATCCCAGGGTCCTGGGATCGAGCCCCACATCGGGCTCCCTGCTCAGCGGGAAACCTGCTTCTCCCTCGCCCACTCCCCCTGCTTGTGTTCCCTCTCTTGCTGTCTCTTTCTGTGTCAAATAAAAAAAAAAAAACAAAAAAACGAAAAACAAAAAAAAGGTTAACTTTTAAATCCTAATATAATTTTCTAGCTGGAATTATTATTAAGATTCATTTTCGTTTCATCATGATTATTTCACAAATTCAGTTTAATTGTTTAAAGTACATAAATCCTCTCATGGCCAAAACTTCTGATGGTCCTGTCCTCTTTCCTTAAAAGCCAAACCAATCAAACTTTTGTTGTCATCAACCTGAAACAATCAGTTTACCTTTGTCTTGCATGACATGACATTATTTTCTGGTGAATTGAACTTGGTATTATACATTTCTCTTTGACATTTTTGCTTGTTCTCCCCCTCCCTTTTTTGTTTGCTTTGTTTTCTTTTCACTTTGGCTCTGGAATGTACTTCTATGTGAGCCTCTTTTGAAATGAGTTTTGAAATCAATTGGGCAAAATTAATTCAATTATTAAAGTAGCAGACATTTCCTTTTTCAGTTACTTTTGTCACATAGTCATGGCCAATATCTCAATTTCCAGACAGAATCAGATACACACATGTGCGGATTTCTGGTCCATTATATTTTGTTGCAGATTCAAAATAATGAGGCACAATTAGAAACAATTCTTATTTAATGGTGGTATTACTGCTCTGAACATAATCTGAGCACATAATGCAAGTGGGCATTTCAGTTCCTTTGAAATGACTTTTCCATTGGGTGAACATCTGATAAATTCCTCCTTTTATGCAGGCTCCCGTGGACCAGATGTTACAGAATATGGGGTATGCACAGGGGTCCATAAAATGTTTGGGGGCAGGGAGTATACAGGACATTTCTGTATCTTACTCTTAATTTTGACATGAACCTACAACTGCTCTAAAAAAATTAAGTCTTGGGGCACCTGGGTGGCTCAGTCAGTTAAGCATCCGACCCTTGATTTCAGCTCAGGTCATGGTCTCAGGATGGTGAGGTCAAGCCCCATGGTGGGCTCCATGCTACAGCATGGAGTCGGCTTGAGATTCTCTCTCTCCCTCTCCCTTTGCCCCTCCGCCTGCTCTCAGTCTCTCTCTCTCTCTCTCTATTGGTCTCTCTCCTTCTCCCTAAAATCAATCGATCAATCTAAAAAAAATTTAAGTCTTAGAAGAAAGAGAGGGGCGCCTGGGTGGCTCAGTCGTTAAGCGTCTGCCTTCGGCTCAGGTCATGATCCCAGGGTCCTGGGATCGAGCCCCGCATCGGGCTCCCTGCTCAGCGGGAAGCCTGCTTCTCCCTCTCCCACACCCCCTGCTTGTGTTCCCTCTCTGTGTCTCTCTCTGTCATAAATAAATAAATAAAATCAAAAAAAAAAGAAAGAGAGAAAATGGAAAAAAGATAAACAGGCCAATCGAATATCTGAAATCCTTTGGCTAAATTCACTTTTTCAATTAAAAATACAAATTGAGGGGCGCCTGGGTGGCTCAGTCGGTTAAGCGTCTTGTCTGCCTTCAGCTCAGGTCATAATCTCAGGGTCCTGGGATCGAGCCCCACATCGGGCTGCCTGTTCAGTGGGGAGCCTACTTCTCCCTCTGCCTGCCGCTCTCTGTCTCTGACAAATAAATAAAATCTTAAAAAAAAAAAATACAAATTGAGCCAGATCTTGGCTGGACCCTAGATAAAATGAGAAGTAAAATTACTTTACAAACACATGATGGAATAGTATGTAGCCATTCAAAATGGTTCTGTAGTTCTCTACTTATTGACCTGGAAGATGTTCATAGCATTGCATGAAAAGGGTAGGTTATAAATATATTATGAGCCCATTAAAAATATATTTCAGGGGAAAAGTCTGAAAAGCTCTACATCAAAATGGTAAAATTTATGTTATGTATATTGTACCCTAATAAAAACAAATATAACAGTAGTTACTTCTGGATGCTATGTTTTTTTACTACTGATTTGTATTTTTTTAGTTTTTTTGCAATGGGTGTGTATTATTTGTATGAAAACTAAGTAAATAAATGAAATAATGGTTTAAAAGAAAAGGAAAAATAAAAAAAATAAGTCTGAGGCCTTTCAAGAAGCTGATGCATTTCTGACTGCAGCTTTCCCCTCTACCCATCCCCCACTGGAGCCAGCCTTTCTGGGTCACCTTTAAAGTCCAGCCTTTAAGGCACTGTTGGACTGGAAGCTAGGAGAGCCCCACTCTAATAGGGCAGGGAGCCAGACGAGGAATGGGAAACAAGCTGAGCCATTTCAGGACACTCTTAAAATATGAAAAAATGACTTTTTCCATCCCAAAAATAATTCGGGGAGTCAAGTCTTGGGAGGGAATTTCAGTCTTAACAGTTAAATCTGGGAAAGGTACAGGAAGTACAAAACTCAAAAGATACCCTACAGAGATTTCTTTCAGCTGACAACATTTAGTTGTTTCATAAGAGGGATCCAAAAAATGGTATTTCATTGGGTATATTCACTTCCCGAAAGTTCCAGGACATGGCACCAGATCTGTTCTTATTGGCATTTAACTAACCATTCAAAGCCGACTCTAATAAAGAAGGAATTGCAGGGAAGTGAGTGCTTCAGGGCACAGAGGACTTTTCTTCCATTGCTTCGCAGTTTGGGAAAGTTGCCATCCATTCGGGTTTCACTCAGACTTTTGCCAGATCCCAGAACAAATTGTAAGCCAGAAGTTCTGCTCTTTGTCAGGAGGCAATTGCAGTCCAGACTTAGCCAGGATCTTGCCCTCTCCCTTCAAAGAACAACTTCCCTTTCTGTGTGGGGATCCTGGCTCTCCTTTTACTCAGGGACATCCTTTCTTTCTAGAAAGACTCGACTGTCCCAGGGTTTCTGTTTTGTTTTTACCATTGTCCGGGTTTTATCTGGATCTCTGGATATCACATCTTCCTAATATCAGTGATTTTAATGTTTAAGGCTTTCTTCTGTTTTTCTTCCTCTTTAGCCACTGCAGTTTACTGAAGCAAAATAAACAGGCCTGTTTCCATTGTTAGAGACCCCAGGCGATTAATCTTTGAGGAGTTGCCCACAAGTTGGCGATCTATGAACTGAGTCTGACCCCTTGCACAGAAAGTTAAAGCCAAGGTGCCCGGTACCTATTTTGTGATCAGATATCGCTTCCCTTTGTTAGAGATCAACTTTCCTTCCTTTTAAGGCAAAGAATCCTTAAACAAACCACTGAGACAATCCCACTGACTACAAAGAGGTTAAGGTAACTGTTTTATATTTTAAACATGGTGGTGGTTACACGACTGAATATGGGTGTCAAAACTTACAAAACTGTCAATTTAAAAGGCCAGTTTTTACTGTACATAAATTATATCTCTATTAAAAACACCACCGCCAATTCGGTTTACTAACATGGAAAAATGTGTAACATATAATACTGACCTAGGAAAAAAGATGGTAGCATTTATAAAGTTTACGTTGATATGTGAAAAAGGAGGAGGAAATCCGGAGAACTTAAAACTATATTTTGTTGAATAAGGAGATAATTTTCCCTTCTAAAAATTTCTTTGTAATCGGTGATTTGAGTTTCGAGGCTATAAATACGTCTTAAAACTTAAAGATAAGGGGCGCCTGGGTGGCTCAGTCGTTAAGCGTCTGCCTTCGGCTCAGGTCATGATCCCAGGGTCCTGGGATCGAGCCCTGCATCAGGCTCCATGCTCAGCAGGAGGCCTGCTTCTCCCTCTCCCACTCCCCCTGCTTGTGTTCCCTCTCTCGCTGCGTCTCTCTCTCTCTGTCAAATAAATAAATAAAATCTTTTTTTAGAAAAACTTAAAGATAAGTTTTTACAAAAATGTGTCGAGCTGTACACTTAAAATTAGTTCACTTTATGCACTTCATGTTACGTGTCAATTAAAAAGTTTTTAAAGAAGGCTTAAAGAAAACTTCTGGGTAGCAGTCACAAGGGTATCTATCCAAATGGAAAAAAAAAAAAAACATTTTAAAATGTGCGCAGTCTACCGTATATTCTACCTCAAAAAAATAAAAAACAAACAAAAAAACCCCCCCTGAAATGGAAACTATGCAGGCGCTGTGGTGCTCGAGCAGTCAAAGCCCGCCAGCGATCCGTGCACTGACTCACCCCCAGAACAAGCCTCCAGTGGCGCAGCCGACCCCCGCAGTACCTGCTCCCCGTGGCCTGCGGTAGGGGGGAGCCTCTCGGGAGGCTGCGACCCCGCACAATTACCCACGGCTCCCCAGCACCAGCGGCCTTCGGGCCCACCCGAGAAGGCCGTGGACATCCCCGCCCCTCGGGCCCCACGGCTGCTCAGGGAATCGCTGCCTCCGGCCACCCCGCCACTCCACTCTTGGGCGGCCGCACTGACGTCACCGCCTCGCCGCCCCGCCTCGCGCCGCCGTTCCACCCCGCCCCTTTTCCCGGCGTGCGCCGCGGTGAGGCTCCTCGCCCTCGGCTTCTGCCTGTCGTCCCAAGATGGCGGACACAATGAGCCGGCGCCGCGCCGGTTGGCTCTGAGGCGACTGTGAGGAGGAACGGTCCGCGAGCCCTCGCAGTCCGGGCAGAAGAGCGTCGCACGTGCAGCAGGAAGAAGGGGAGGAGGTGACCCGACTGTCGGCCGCCTTTGCGC